TTCATTTATTTATTTTCTTTAAGGTCCCAGTAGATCAGCTAGAAGGATGCGCGAAGCATTCATTGACGATTTGAACAGAAATGCAAATTATGTGGATGGAGATACAGGACATCCTAATTGTAAATAATTTTATTTTTTTGTGACATAACATGCTTGCTATAACTCGCTTATCACTTGTTTTTATAAATAACTCTCGAAATATTGAATGTTTAGCCAGTCTTGCTTCAAAATTACATTCCGGGCTTTCGGTGTTTGAATTTTCATCAATTAAAGTTCGTAATCCTCTTCAGTTTATAAATGTTAAATTATGTTTATTATTTTTAATCGTATTAAATTAAATTTATATTATATTATATTTAATTAAATTGGGGATGGCTGAGTGAGTTGTTGCTCGATTGGGAACGTTGATGCTGAAATTCGATTCCCCGCAGGAATAAACCTGTGCAAATATCCGGGTGATGCTGGCGACTCACCTTTATTTCTATCGCCAAGGAACTTCCTGGCATATTGCTCAATGTGACAAGCCAGTGGAGTGAATTTAACCAGTAATGGTGAGGACTCTTGAAAAAAAATTTGATTAAATTTTTAAATTTAAAATTGTTTTCATATAATAGATCGCAATACTCGTTCATCGAGAAGAATAGAAAGCGATGAAAGCTCCACAGAAGATCTTGAAGACAAAAATAACTTTGATACACATTCAGAAGATTCCAGTGGTAATCATTTTCTCGCTAAAACTACAAATTAAATGACTACAAATTAAATATTTTATGCCTTAATGAATTTTTTTTCAGATAGTGAAGAAAGTGACAGAAAGCATAATGCTTTAAATGACATACTTGCGAATGTATTCGAAATGTCAGGCGTTGACAATGTTATTTTCAACAATGAAGAGAATCAAGATTCTGATGATTCTTTCGTTGTAGATGATGATGTTATAGAAGATTCGGACAGATCATATAGTGAAGAAAATGAAGATTTGGAGTGGGATGAAATGAGCAGTGGAAATAATTCATACAATAATGGCAAAGGTGAAGAATTTGAGTGTGAAAATTATAGTGATGTTGAAAAAGAAAACTGGAATGAAAGCGACAGGTTCGTACTTGCTGAAGGATCCAATTCAATCCGTATTTGCTCAAGTGGACGGACAAATGTTCAACACGAACGTCGTAGGCGTAAAAGAGGGAAGAGAAATCAAGCAAGGAAACGACGTGGAACACAAACGAATGAAATACGAAAGTCAAATAGACGAGCGCGCAAATCTAGAAAACGATCAAGAACTCATGCAAGAAAAGTAGAACTTTAAATGAACAAACTTTTAAAAAAATTTTACTGTTAATATGATTTTTTTTAGAAATGGTTCTGAAAAAATTGTTGAATTTTTCAGAAAAGTAAAAGTTTAAGAAAATGAAAAAGTGAGGAGCAAATTAAATTTGATTATCCTATTATCCTTTTGATCCTTTGAAAAACTAAAAAATATTTAAGTTAGGAAATTATTTTTTTCCTTTAGTTCTTTTGATATTCGATTTTGTTTTCTTTTGTTCAAATAAATAATTTTATTCTAATCGCTTTCGAATTTCTTTGCTTAAGGATGTTCATATGTCCGTTTTTCTTTTTCTATCAATTGGAAATTTGTTCCAACAGTTTTTTTATTCGCAAAGAACGAATATAATCTTATTTAGCGAAAAAGACCAAGTGAACAAAAACGGCGTATTACGAAAAACGGCAGTTGCTCAAATGGTGTTCAAGAAAATCGTAAATCTCAAAGAAAAATGTAAGAAAAATGTAATGTAAGAAAACTGTAAAAAATGTAAGAAAAATATAAATGTAAAAATGTAAATGTAAGCGAATTGTTGCTGGTTCTATCATTTAGAATTTTTAAATTACATTAGAAATATTTTTAACAAGTATGCAATATTATATTTTAGATTTTAATATATAGATTTTAAGAAGAGTCGCTGATCGCAGCATATTTGGTTCTTCGAGTCTCTCAATTTGTGGTAAAAGATTTGTTGATTCGCCTGAAAATATGTAGGTTTTTTTTTTTTTTTGATGAATTGTTTCAGCATTATTTTATTATGTTTTATTCAATATATTTTTAAGTTATAGAGAATAGCTTAATTGGTACAACTGAAGAACAAAGAAGTTAAGCACCTCAATTTTTTCATATTCGTCGTGTTCATCATGACTGGCACGACTGTTTTCTCAAATATTTTTATGAACAAATATAGTTGAATTGTGAAAACTAATTAAATCTTTCTAACCATTAAATTCATATTTTCATTGGTCGAATGGAAAAACTCAGTGATAATAAACTTAAATAAAGTTAAATATATTAGTATCATTAAAAGATTTTGCTGTGAAAAATTTCAATGCTTAACTGGATTTATTGGGTTAGCTTTCTGGGAATTTTAAAATTTCAGTGAAGATCCAGTAAACGCGAATAACGAGTCTGCTGGGCCAGTGCAAGAGTATGTATTTTTTATGTTCTATTACATGGTTTTCATTTTTTTCAAAAATCATTCTTAAATTAATCCGTATATATGTTTGTTTTCATAAATTTTTCCTGAAATAATTTTTTAACGCTGTTCCACCTTCAACCCATTATTTTTTACTGCATTGGCAGCGTTTGTCCATCAATTCTGGGAATCTTTATCTGTAAATTTAATTTAAAATTAATAAATTAAAATTAATTATTTTGTTGAATATTCTGTGAAATAAAACGCTTTATTTTGTTTATTTATATATCTCCTATTCTTTTAAATTTGCAACGTTTATATATTTTTCCTAAAACCTTTTTCAGGAAATGAAAATCCTCTGATGAAAAAATTTATTTTAAAGCTCCTTTAGCCCCCATTTGAACTATTTACCATTCATCTCTCGCTTAGTTCATTTGGTACTCTTTTTTAGTACAACATTTCGTTCTCTTTCATTATAACCTTGCAACATCGCAATAATAAAGAATATGAGGAAAGATTAGTTTTATTTCGAAGAACGGAATACATCCAGGGTTGGAAATTATTAAATGTATATTTGGTAAGGACTTATAGGTAGGAACTTGGTGATATTTGCGACTTAGTTAATATTTTTTAAAAAATAAAAAATGAATTAAAAATGTGCAATTTTTATATCCTCCTTTTTTTTCAGTTTATCGAAATTTGACGTGGATTTACTTGAAAGCATATTCTCTGAACAAATAAAAACTTTAACATCTGCTAAGAATCAGCGGATTGCACGTGATGGTACTATCACTGTCGTTAACTGTTTAGATGATAAGGAGGATCGAAAAGAAAGTCTAATTTCTTCAAAAAGCTATAATTCAGTCAACGTATATCTCAATTTTTTGCTCACTTAGAAACTCATTCGTTGAGAATCTTTGCAATTTTTGCTGAATTATTAAAATCAGAATTATGTCGTTATATGAAAATTTTATCTATCGAAGAAATTTTTTCAATTTTTAAATTCAACGATTTTTTTCTCTCAAGAAAGAAGTGGAAAAGTGGTTTAAAATTTTATTTTTTATAATTTAATGAATAATTTGATTGTGAATTATATGAATATGAATTTAAAAAAATATTTAATATTCAGAAAATGGTCCAAGCCGAACAGTCCAAAACTACTAAATTGTGTGGAGGAATTCGAAAAAATAGGCCATCTCGTTGGGGCTCGCCAACGACATCTAGTCAACAATTAAATATTACTGCTGCTATACCGTTACCTTCTGGACAACCACTGCAACAAAATGTTTCACTGGATTCTATCCCCATTCCGCATCATGCTTCACTACATTCATCGCTTCCTCCTAATTTAATACATGGTACAAAACCTTCAGTTGTGAAGTGTAAATTTTTCATTTGGTTGTCAATTTCTATATTAATTGTTACATCCGATTAATAATCAGTTTACTTATGAATGTTATTTTGTGATTACGTGAGGCGGAATGTTTAACTGTAGATATAAACATTTTTCTTAAAAAAATTCGTGAAACTTCATTTTTTTAATCGATTTTCTCCATTCATTGGAATTATAAAACTTGGAAACTTTTGTATAATTGGGATAGGGGAACGAAATTTTTATTTTCTAAATAGGTTTGTGCAATTCTTTAACAAATAGCTTTGTAAATGCTTTCAGTGTTTCAGCTTCTCCCTCCCAATCTTTTCCAATGAATTCATTCGCTTCAACTGTTCAGCCATTTGCTTCTTATTTGCAACAGACAAATTTACCTAGTCAACAACTTCCTCATCTCAGCACGGCCGGTGTTAACCAACAACAGCTTCTTCAGATGCCACCTCTTTTTTCAAATCTTTTTGTCCAGCCTTCTTTAAATGGTATTCTCCAGTTCTTTAAGTGGTATTTCATCATTTTGGTGAAGTAAAATCATTTTTCTCAGTTATGATCGTTGGTTGGATTGAAAAATATAGCAGTAATGATTTTTTTCAGTTATATTTCTAATCTTTAACAAATATAATTTGATCATTATCATAATCACCATCAGTTATAGTCAACAATATTCTGGCAGCAAATTTATTGGCAAATTCTGCGATCGCACCACCGATTACTCAAGGAAATCCGTTCCTCTTGAATCAGGTGCAGCAGCTTGTGAATCCTAATCAAATAGGACACTTGACAAACCCGAATTCTCTTGGCCAACAACTGCTTGCTCAAAATTCTTTAAATCAGCATTTATCGTATGCGAATCATTCGGCACAACTTAGCGCTCAGAGCTTTAGTTCAGAATCAAATCGAAACAAGTTAAACTCACACATTGCTGTTTTGACGTCCACACAGTCAGGAGCGATTATTCAAGGCAGCAGTTTATCTGTTTCTGGTGTCCCTCCACCTCCTCCTACTAACGATTTGGGCAACGCAGATATCACTGAATCTGTCTGTGAACCACTTGCCGAGAAAATAAGGCTGCTTACTCATGCACGATCGTTATCTGATGTAAGATGTAATTTCATTGCATTACATTAAATTATTAAAATATTAGAATAATTAATATGGGTTTTTTTCGGAGGTTATTGTTTTTTCTAAATATGCAATAATTGAAATGCATTGATACATTGATGAATGATCCTTCTTTCTTCAAAATCACTCTTTAACATTATTAGTTAATTAATTATGCAGCGGTGTTAAGGTTAACAAAGATTCAGTGGAAAAAAGAATTTCAACAGATGATCCACGTGTTAATGCATCTAGCCGTAAAAGTGCTAGCGCAGAAGATGAAGAAACTGGTGAAGCTAGTGTAAAGAAGCATAAAAACGGATGGATGTTTGAACAAGCCAGACAAATGCTTTCCGAATCATTAAAAAAAAGATATAGGTAATCTTTTTACAAGAAAAAGGACTCATGCCAGGTAAAATGTAAAATGCATAAAGCAAAGCAGTTCCTGTTCCCAGTTTCATGATAGGATTATGATAGGATTACGTATTATCGTAATTGTTTTTCCTTCAGCCTACTGAACATCTCTGGGAAAATCTCCGACTCCTTTTTTTTGAAGACTTTGGGCAGCACACCTTTTTGCCTTTTTTTTAGGGTCATCACCATTACTGGTTGAACTCGTTCCGCTGGCTTGCCACTGGACAAATATGCTAGGATATATTTTGGCGATAGAAGTAGAAGCGCCAGCACCACCCTTATTTTTGGATAGGTTTACTCTTGCGAGGGAACCTCAGCATTGGCTCTCCGAATTGACAGCGACCCGCTAACCCTTGTTCGCCCTAATCTGGATTTAGACCATCAAGTACTGATTACATTATTTGCGTTAAGAATAATTTTCGAACTTTATTTCAAATATCGACAAACCTTTATTCATCAGTGCGAAACATACCTGCTCCATCGCAGTGTCTCATTAATTTCAGGAAATATTGCAGAAAGTATTTCGGAAGTTAAGAGATTTTTAAAAAAATTTTTAAAGAAATCGATATTATTTTTAATATTTAATGTTGTTCGTAAATATTCAAATAAAATTTAATGAATACATTTGAATGAATGAAGTAATTTTAATCGAAACTTTATCATATTATAAATTTTGCATGTTAGCATGAGTGGTATTCTTGATTGTTAACTATGGGTCTTAGAGCTGCAAAGTTTTAATGGAGAACATTTCATTTTCAGACAAAAACAAATCAAGAAAGAAGAGTACAAAATTATTATGAAGAAAGGTGTGAGCGCTCTTTCGAAACGTACTCGACTGGACCAGCAAAAAGTCGATGAATACGCAGACAAATATGTTGAATGCATGATACATCGCCGAAAAAAAAAAACTTAAATTTCGCGATAAAAACCACTTCATTTGCCAAAAATCTGATAAGATATCGACGATTTCAAAATTTTATAAAAAACTTACAAATACTTCAGTAGTCATTTAATAAAGAATTTATTATATGTACATACCAAAATTCATATGCTTGCATTGTTCCTGCTCGTGTCTTGTTTGATCTAAATTTATTTACCAAATATCTTCTCTTATTGTCGTTAATCTCTTCAACCCACAGTTTAAATGATTTTATCACTATTAATTTATTGTTATTTACATTTGTGATTTTGGATGAAAATTGGTATAACTAGAATAAATATTAAAGCGATCACGGTTTTCCTACGACGGATAAAAGCGATCAACAGGGTTTTCTAAAGAAATTTAATGAAACTTTCCAAAATATTCACCCATATTTAGAGTTTTTAAATATTGGTCCAATATAAATTTTTTATCTTTCGTTTTCCGAGGTCGCAATACGTTCTTACTGTGGCAGAATGGATGGATTGTTGCTCTCGTTTCAGAGCGGTGTTGTTAGTGTGCTACTGTCGGCAAGAACAAACCCAAACCTATTGGAAGTCGCTTCCATTGCCGAAACTTTCCTTTCGGATTTCGCCTGCTCCGATCCTAATCAAAGATGGTGAAAAAAATTAGTACCATAAAAAAATAGTATCACAATATTGGAAATCAATACATTTAAAAAGCAAAAGCATGCGTGAAAAAAAATTAAAGTCGGCAATATGTTGTGAGTACATAAAATTGGGTCCGTCTATTCTGCTTTTACATTCGTTATATTTGATACTGAATTGACTCGATCTGGTTTTGTGCACGCCATGGCGCTGGAAAACATTGAAAGGAGTGATTAGATTGCACTTGCGCATGTATAGTGATATCTGATGTAAGTCAATCAAATACAAGTCAATAATGGTCAGGAGGATGCCATTTCTAATGATTTTCCCAAGCCAAGAATCTTCAGCAAATAAATAAGCAAATGAATTCAATATACTGTGTTGCACTCTGCGCATACTTCTCGTCGAGTTGAATTTCTCTTTTTATGGAGGAAACAATAATACAATGGAATATAGTAATCTCCCTTCCCTCCAAAAAAGGCTAATTTTCAAATTCCTTGAAGGGAAAAGTTTTAAAAATTTTAAAATTAAAAAACGGAATAAACAAGTCGAAATTAGAATAATGAATAAAAAATAAATATATCGAATTTTTGTTTCGGAAAATATATTTGAAAAACGAAATTGGTTTTTTCCCAACAAAATTTTATAAGGAAAACTAAAAAGTACTGTGGGTTGCGATTAGTCCCATATCTTTCGGTCCAATAAACCTCATTTTTGTCCTACCAAATTTGGAGTATAGCATGATGCATTCCTCTTCAATATTCAACAAGGAATGCTCGATTATTGGTCCTAAATAATGACGACTATAAATATATGCCTCCGAAAATCAAATACACGCTATGTGCTATCCATGCAAATTTTCTGTGATAAGATGATCGTGATGATTTCCAGCGAAAATTATTTGATAAATAAATGCATTTTTATAACACAGGTAAGGAGAACTAAACAGATACGATACTTTCTCCCAACAATATTCATTTATGCCTCAATGATGACTCAATCATGGCTATACAGCTTGAAACGATAAAAAAAAAGCAAAAAACTTTCATAAAAATATACGATGTAAAATATTACTGCAGAATTATGGATTCCGATAAATAACAATTTTTCAATCGATCAAATAACCTTTTTCAGACAGACGATCTTCATTATTAAGAGGTAGAGAAGCCGATACTTTTTTCGCACAGTATGCAGTTTTTTGCTATAAAAATTGCATCGGAATGATATTTTTTAACAAAAAGTTATTCAAAAAAACTGATTTACTGATTGGATATATCGGATATATCATGTCGTAAGAATTGATGGATATATGGATGCTAACTGTTAAACGCTGCAATGGAAGCATCAAAAGCGAAGATGACCAATCAAGACTTGGATAGTAGGAAGAGATTTAGAATATACCAGCGATATATGGACTTAGACGATGGAAAATTAAGCAGCTTCTTTTACTTGCAAATAAGGTGTGCTTTGAGAGATTTATCTTGTAACTAGAATAACCGTTAACCGATGTTAGAAGAATAATACTTTATATGCTTTCAAAACAAGAAAGATTCCTGAAAATTTCAATGCCCTCACTTGAATTCATTTGAAAGTTGAAGGATTATGCGAATTTTAAATTATTTGGCATTGTTGCAACAACTTTATAATAAATACTTATGATTTCGGTTTAAATTTTAATACAAACAGAGGCAACAGCTTGAAGCTGCCCTTTAGAATAAATCAGATCGACTCCAATGTTTTTCATTCCACACTATATTTTGAAAATTGACTGAACGAGATTATTCACAATGTCATACAATTCAATGCTGCATTACTCCCGAAAGAAGTTTTGCTGCTGTTGTTGCAAATTTTGCTAGATATTTTTATTATTTATCAATATATACAGTATCATGAAATTCGCATATCAATTTACGTACCATTCAAACAAGCGGTTTGAAGTAGAAAACGGCTCCAGCTTCATTTTCGGGCTCTAACCTTGGCAGTTCTTTAAGTGGATGACGGCAGTCAGATTGCTCGGTTTCCCAAGGCTGTCTGAAAATTTTAAAGAATTCATGATTTTGTTGGTTACCATTCTTCTTGATTAGAACAGAACCAGGATCAATTTCCAAATTCTCAATTTTCCTTAAGCGCTAGTTATGACGAGATTTTAAAATTTTCTCAACCTAATAAAAAGTCAATAGTTGCCTCTTTCTCTGCTCAGGATTCAAAAATTGAATATATGGCGCATCTAAAAATTGAAGAGTTTCATCGGAGAACTGATCTCTATAAGAATCACCATATGCATCAAAAAAATTCATAAATTTGAGTGGTGAATGGACTGTATTATTTGTCGAGCTTAAAATCGAAAATGACGGATCGAGTTGTGCTGCTGCAGCAAGATTTCTTGTTTCTGATTCATAATTGGCAAGATGACTGATAGGTGCATTTGGTAACCGCACTTGCGCATTATTTTTCAGTGGGATTGTATAACCATTTAAACAATATGAGTCAGGCGAATTTGAAATCTCAAAATTTCTATTTACTAAAATTGTGTTAAATTACAATTATATTAAGGTTTCAATTGCGTTATAATTTCAATTTCCGGATATTGAACAATTTTATACTATAATTTATGTTTAATGGTAATTCTTTATTTCTGAGATATAGAAAACAATGAGTATTTTTAATATATATTTTCCTTACGTCTTCATTATGAATATTCTATTGTCAGTTAAATAAAATATGCAACAACACAGAAAAAATTCTTACTGGTGCCGAAGAAAAGTGACCAAAATTCGCACTTTCATTTGGACAAGTTGAATATTGCAGAAAATCTTTATCTTCCATATTTGGCTGCACAAATGACAATATATTTGTGTTGTTGAACTGCCAATTTTTCTCAGGAAATAATGAAACTGGAACTGTAGCAGGCACAAGATCTGTCGATGGCTGATTGTAATTCATCAATTTCGAACTGTGTATTTCGGGAAACATATATTGAACCTGGACTATTTCTGAAGCTAACCGTTGAGCTGGCAAGAAAGAAGGCGAAGAAGAATTCGAGTAATTTGGTGTTAATCTTTCCCTATCTTCTATATGTTGATATGAACAAACTGAAAGTGGGAATGCACCATTACAGTTATCCTTACTCTTAATGAAATTAGTCGGTTTCTGCATCGTATCTGTAAAAAATTTCTCATTTAATGAAGAATCATTTCCAGTCGGAGAGAATACATCGCTAGCAGTACCAGCATGAAATGAGGCAGGATTCAAATGAACATGCGATATAGAAGTCACATTGTTTACCATGGTTTTATTACAACAAAAATTAGGAGCGGAATTCAAAGAACTGCGCTCAATATCACAATGAGCAATAGAATACTGGGATTCTGAATGATAAGTTTGACTGTGATAACAACTCTGATCAACGCCTTTGAATCCAGGAGGTGGTGGAAGTATATGTGGATCAGATGGTAAACCAGGATTAAAGTTTGAATTCGAGAAATAAGAATTTATTCCACTGAATACTCTTGTAGACCCGAAATTAGATGATGGATTTCCAGATTGCGGGCAAAGATATGGTGAACTATCGCAAACAGCAGTTGGATTCTGCGGAATCGTAATAAATGCTGAATCAAGAAACCGATTTATAGGATTTTTACAAGAAACCGCCGTTTCCACAGTCAATCCGAGTGAAACATTAGCAACTGCAGAACCAGGTGCGGACCCAGACTTCGAAATCGATTTCGCATTATTTGGTGCTGAAAATTCACAGCCATTATGTTGCAACTTTTCATAATTTCTGTCACTGGTTTCAGAAACGTCTCTTTCTCTTGACTTTTCATGATCGTTTTTAACTTTATTTCTCTTTTTCTCACAATTTTTGTTTTTTGTGGCAGTAAGGCATTTTTTGCAATTGTCTTGGGATGCGTTAAATTCTTTAGATTGGTGCTGTCGTGTGGTCTTTCTGCTTTCTTTTTTCTTTTGAATCGCTACTGCACGAGCCTAAAATTCATTTTTTACAGGTCGCTTAAAATTTTATTAAACTTATTGAGGGCGTCCATATACAATTGCTTAAAGAAAACAAATATAATAACCTCTGCAGCTTTTTTTTTTCTCTCTTCTGCTTCGAAGGCTTTTTGCTTTTGGAGTTTTTCTTGAGCAGCCTGACGTTCCCTTTTCTTTTGCACAGCCAAAGCTTCCATTGCTTTTTTCCTTTCTTCTGCCTTCCTTCGTTCATTTTCCAATCTTTCTTTTTCTTCCTACGATAATTAATGTTAAATATAATAAAATAATCTATCTACCGTTCTGATGAATTTTTTGCAACAAAAAAAAAAAAAATAAATAATGAAAAAAATAAAATCAAAAGACAACCTGCTTTCGCTGCTTTTGTCTTGCACGTTTTGC